TAAGTTGAAACTTTTTAAACATAAGTCCACCACCTCCCTGTGGATATCTGAAACAAAGGATAGTAGCAAACCCTATATTTTGTTTATACTTGTACTGGAAGCATACCATAGAATGTCTCTAGAGGATATAGAGAGCCTTAGAAACAGGAGGTTGGGGATTCTATAGAGTGCAGGTAAGTGAACCTGTAGATATCAAGTGCATAGACAAGGGATTATTTATGTTGTACAAATTTATTTTCTTAACTCCCTCGATGGATTGTCACCTTGTCATGGTGAGGGGACTTGCATGTTCTAATGACCCTGTGGGCATAACTGTTGGAGTAATTTACTCCCAGGAGGGACCACAGGAATTCTAGACCAAGCGCAATCCGAAGACCTAAAGACCTCAATGGCAGATAAGGCAGAAGATAACATGGTACATGTTACAACAGCTATGAAGGCAGAAAAAGGCTGCAACAGATTGAGAAGCCACCGTTGTCATGTCAATCATGCCACTGGTTGAGACCACCCTCACTCTGTGAAGACTGTGGGTTGATCAGCTGTGCACTGACCTCCACACATTAAAACAACTCCTGCACAGGCATCTTCCTAGAAAAATAACACCCTTGGAAGGCCATCATACTCAGCAACGAGGGATCACCTAAGTAAGTAGTAGAGTATTTCCTTAAGTAGTTTAATATAATTTTGCTTATATGGGACGGTTGTAATTACAGTGGCACACACAGCAAAGAAAGAAAATACTGATTATTTTGACTTTATGGAGTATAAAGTTACACTATTTTGCATCATAACAGTAACACTGGCAGCTGCTAGATGGCACCAGAATCAAAAGCAAAGTACATTCCATTTTGAAGCCATCTACACTGACTGGTATTTCACATTTATATGGTAGTTAAACCCGAGTTTCAAAACTACATAATTTTAGTTAGCTGGACAAGGACATTTTGTCTTTGGCAACAACTGCTAGGATCTTAGGGGGATCTGGACTGCTTAAACTGCTTTTGTTCTAATTCCCTCCAATTTTGTCAAGAGTTTGCAAATCTGAATCAAAGCAATTTTTTTTCATCAAAACACATTACCGACTTCTTTCGCTGTTAGCTAGCATTTGGGGAAGGATAAGGGGCAGACTGCTGGGGAAATGTAGGTGGGATTCTGGAAGATGGTTGTGCATTTTGGGTGCTATTTTAAGTCTATTATTTATTGTTTGTATGTATGTTTAACAATCTGTTGCTCCTGGCTATTAAAGAGATAGAGGTCTCCATTCTAATACACAGTGCTCAATGGTGCACATAATGGTATCCACTGTTTAGCTGAAACTGAGCATCTATGGAATGACCAATATCTAAGTTATCTCTTCAATTTTCGCTTTCAACTATTAAGCAGAAACTGACCTGTTGTTATTTGTCAGGGCTGAATAGCTTCTAGGACTGTGAGCTAGTAATTCAATGCGACTCCATTATCTGTTGCGTCTGTTTTCTACCCACCACTATGCTTTGTAACAGCTCTTCATAATTCAATAGCATTAATTCAATTCTTAAACCATCTTCTAGATCAATTCAGCTTTATATAACATGGTGAATAAACAACTTCTACAAAGAGAGATTCTGATCCATAGCTATTTGCCAGTGATTTATATACTGCTCGTTGACACTCTATTCAAAGGTAATTTCAGTACATAAATCTTGCAGGAGGTCTTTTCTTTCCACAATTGATTTATTTTTAAAAAATCTTTAACTTTGTATACAGTCAAAACCTATTCAGGGATACCTACGAGCAACTAAGTATTGGAGGCCCATTACACATTCTATAAACATGTTTTCATTATGCCTGACAATGCTTTTTATAGTTGTGTCCATACCCTGTTTGGTGGAAACTTGGTGGAAACTTTAAACCAGGGTTCAGAAAACTTGTAGCCATTGTTGGACAGATATCATTGGCCAATGGAAATCGTAAGCCTATAAATCTGGAGAGCTACACATTTCATACCCTGCAAAATATTCTAAGGGTTTCCTGTACTTACTGTATCAAGGTTTATAAACTTACTTACTTTGGTGATCCCTCGTTGTCCAAGTATGATGGTCTTCCAAGTGTAGTATCTTGGCAGTGGATACAGTACATAGGTGACTGTGGAACCCTATTCTTGCCCTGCATGTTCTTCCACAGTGAGAGCATCGGTTTCCAGGTGGAAGTTGATCTCAGTCAGAATTGGTTTGAAGCGGCTTCCTCTTCGCACATTTCTCTCTTTCACCCGCCATTTATGCCTCTTCAAATTCCACAGCACTGCTGGTCACAGTTGACCTCCAGTTAGAGCACTCAAGGGCCAGGGCTTTCCAGTTCTCTGTGTCTATGCCACAGTTTTTAAGGTTAGCTTTAAGTCCATCTTTAAATCTCTTTTCCTGTCTACCAACATTCCTTTTTCCGTTCTTGAGTTGGGAGTATAGTAACTGCTTTGACCTCCCACGTAGGCATATCGTCAGCATTTCCCAACTATATGGAAGGCATCAGATGGAGGAAAACCCGTATACAACTTCACATGCAAACATATTTCCTTGTATAATTAACTTACTGGGACATTTCCTGTCTCTCTTAAGTGTAGTATTACTTTGAAGAAACAGCAGAACATAAGAACATCAATATGTTGTCTACCAGCAGATTCCCCACTGTGCGACAATATCCTATATCCTAGGAGTAGACAAAAGGCAGACTGAGATGACTGGTAGCACTTTCAACAATTTGCTGCACACTGGCAAGATTTTTCTCACTCTCAAGAGGTTCACAATATAAAAATGATCTCTCATGGCTTCCCTACTAATTGCTTCTCTTTTAGCTCAAATGTTATGCACCTATAAAATATGTATACTAATAATCCCCTCTGTGCAGCTCTAACAGATATTTATACTTTAAAACCCCTCGTGCAATTACAGGGACAGAAATATTGTACTTGTATAGAGAGATCATCTGAGTCTGCATCTTATATGGCACAATCATGTTCTGACTCTGACCCTGATTAACCATTTTGGATAAGGATTCCGCCTTATCATTGTGTACGTCACTCTAGCTAGTGACCTTGGGAGATTTGGCAACCAAATGAAATTGTACCCCATAAGCAGGGGCGGCTCAACTCATGACGCAAAGTAAGCATTTGCAGTATAGTTGATTTTGCCCAGGGGCGCTCTTGAGGCGCTCTTGGGGGAAAATAGACCTTGACACATGCGAGTTGTAGTTACTGGGATGTATAGTTCACCTACAATCAAAGAGCATTCTGAACTCCACCAATGATGGAATTGAACCAAATATGGCACACAGAACACCCATGACGAACAGAAAATATATATCAGTGATTGGTTGGGGGGGGGGCGCCAAAATACTATTTGCTTACCGTTGAAATTAACTAGGGCCGCCTCTGCCCAAAAGCCTAACACTTGCCTAGTCCTGGTAGCCTATTGTCTTTCCTCTAACACACTGGTTCCCAACCTGTGGTCCATGGACCACCAGTGGTCTGCAAGAACTAAAATATGGTCTGCAGCCTCAATATTACTACACCATTGCAACGATAGTGACTGGTCTTGCTAAACCTTCTTATAGTGTTAAATATTGTTTTCTGTGGGCGAGTAGATGCCAACTACTGGACAGCATATGTTCTGTACCAGAAACTAGAGCTGATGTGGTCTATACAATGCAGTTTTCTGAATCAGCACCCTAATAACCAAACTGAATCTAAAGTTAACCAAAAACTGATTTGTAACCCTTTTGGTACTAATGTTGGAGAGTAGTCCCTAATCAAAGCGGTCCTTGTTCATGTGGTCCCTGGTCAAAAAAAGGTTGGGAACCACTGTTCTGACAGCAGCCTAATAGCATTTGGAGAGTGGCCCAATACAAACACTGTCCAAAAACATGTGCACTTCCATTGGAACTGTCCCAGCTGTTCAGCAATTGTCTTGTGCAATGTGATCCATATGCTGGAAGCAATGCCTATTATTCCTCATGGAAGATGATTCAGCCTTTTTTCCCCTTGACATGTGGAAATCAACAGAGAATTGATAAGAGTATTCTCCATTGCACTCCTCTGTCTTCTGGTAGACTTCTCAGATTCTTGATGTTGGACTGTCAACAACCAATGCTACCTGCACTATCTTCCTCCATGAAGTAATTTACAGCACTCAAATGGAGCCATCATAAGTCAAAAAGGGCACCTTGGGAGTTACATATACACATGCATATATGTATGTGTGAATGTGTGTACACATACTACAGAATTTAGATATTGTTAGATTTGGTCATTAGTCTTCTTCTGCTCCCTTTGTGTTGTTAAGATTAGTCCCTCTGAAAAAAAATATTTCTGTTCAGAAGTGGCTTATGTGAGCCATACTAAACCAACAAATCTTGCAGAACCTTTGTGGCATGTATTATATCATGAGGTTTGTGGATTACAGTCTAGTCCATCATATGGATAATATTTTGAAACCTACCTCAGAAGTACTTCTCTATCCCAGAAGTGTGATGCTGGAAGAAGCCAAAGGTCTGTTTGAGGGCAAGGAGGAAGAAAGAGATGGCAGTGTGTGACAATAACAACCCCAAGGAAGCAGCAAAAAAGAAAGGTATGGAGTGCAATACATAGTTCAGTAGCCATCTCTTATCCATCTATATATCCATCTGCCATGCAACTAAGATTATCATGTTTGAGAACTGTATCTACTGAAATTATATACATTTGGGGATGGGAGTATAAATGGAAAGGATTAGAACAAGAGTTAGGAGTCTGTGGTCATCCAGATGATTTGGACTTCTACAATCCAATACCCTGGCAATGCTAGGAAGACTGATGGGAAAAACCCAAAGTATCTGGACATCCAAAATTTACCATCACCAGGTTACAGGCAGGGCTTCAACAGCAGAACAGCAAAACTAAAATGAATGGAGGCACGATGAGTGTAACATACTCACAAGTCTTTAAAATGCTCTGCATTGTGTACGTGTTCAAATGAATGCTACTCAAACAATTATATTTTCCACTTTTTTAATAGCACCATACAATACAAATACAGGAAGATGGTTTATGCACAATTCATAATTTTAAAGCCACTAGCATAAGCTTTTTTTCAAATTAGCATTAAATGAAGTACAAAATATGGTTCAAGGAAATTGGTTTGAATTCTTGGAATGGATTTTGCTTTCACTTTTACAAAAAAAGGAGTTAAGACTTCTAGTTTCTTGTCTATTTTACAAAGAAAAGAGGTAAATTTGTACGAGGAATTTCTGTTAAATTCTTTTTTTTAGTTAGGAATGTAGATATAACAGGCTGAATCTCAAATGATGGCTGAAATCCTGTCCTGCATTTTTGAGATCGTAAACTGAATTTACTATGTCATAAAATGTGCAATAGGAAAGAGTTCTAGAGAACTCAAAAGTGCACACAGTTTGTGGATTTACTCCCCCCCCCCTAAAAGATTGCTTGATTATTCCTTCATTAATCAACACTTATCTAAATGCCATGGCTTCAGTGGGTCTACTCTCCTTGAGACTTGCAATTAAGATTAACCAAAAATGGTTGTACTTCATCCCCCCTGAAATCAATGGGATGGAAGTAAACCATGAGGATGAATGTCTCCCACTGAAAGGGATTTCAGTGCAATTAGTTTTGTCCAAATCCAACCTAATGGCTTCTGAAAGACTGGCCTGACTTTTAAGGAAGGATGTGTAGTGAAATAATGTATAAAATACAATACATTGAAATACAAACAAGGCCAATAATAATAACAGCAACCACAAAAAAGGTCCTTGCTGAGCAGTGGCAATCCTAAATAGATGGTCCAATAGAAATTTCAACAGGAAGAGTAACTTTTATCACTTGAGTACATATTTGTAAATTGCTTTTTATAATAGGGATGCAGCTCTAAATGCCAACAAGCTTAGCCATATTAAGAGAGGAAGGCACATGGAAAGGAATATGACTCTTGTCTTCTGTACTGCTCTTAAGTTAGTCATCTTCGCCGCCACAGAGCAGCAGGAGACCTTTCCGGTAGTCCCCAGATGTGTCTTTCTGCAAATCAAAACACAGGGAAGAAGTCAGCTGTGACTCCAGGAAACAAATCCTTGAGGTATGCTAGCTTTACCTTTCACCATATGAAATCCATTTGTATGGTCATAAAATTGGAAACAGTAGATAGAAATTATTGGAAACGTCATGTTTTTTCTACATTTCATCAAAAAGCTGGAGAAGCAAATCTGGAACCTCACTTGCAGAATTCCAACAATGTTGATATTGAAGGCTTGCTTACAAAAGACATAGGTAGAGTAAAGGTAAAAGTTTCCCCGACATTAGGTCGAGTCGTGGTGCTTTATTACTGCACTATTTAAAGTCATTATGTCCCTGTTATAACTGCTCTTATCCTTACGCTGCTATATGATCTATGCACCTTATTGATTAGCCTATTTTCTAACTTGTTGCACACCAGCCCACCCTCCCACAACAAGACTTGAAGTATGTCCTCAGTTGTTGCTTATGATGCTTGTTATATAATTGTTATAATGTTGATTTATGCTGTTTTATATTATTGTTATATTTTATATGCTTTGTTTTTAACTCCGCGTGATTGGGCTTGGCCCCATGTAAGCCGCCCCGAGTCCCTTCTACTCACATTTACATGTTTTCAAACTGCTAGGTTGACAGAAGCTGGGGCTAACAGCGGGAGCTCACCCTGCTCCCTGGATTCGAACCATCAAACTTGTGGTCAGCAAATTCTGCAACTCAGCAGTTTAACCTGCTATGCCACCAGGCCCTCCCCCTCACAACAGAGATAACAGATCTACAAATCAGTTTCAGCCACAATTGCTATATTTAAACTAATTTATTCCCATTTCCAATGGCAGCCTACAATGGATTTAACACATACCAATATAAAATAAAATATCACCCTGTATCTTCAAATTGTTATAGATTATAATGTTTTTGTACCAGACACCTCATGTTTGTGCAAAAAGAGAATAGAGTAAACTCACTGCATAAGGGCCTACCTGAATTGCATGGTACAACGATTTTGCAAAATTCTTTCTGAACTCCTTCCTGATATCCAAGAGATCAATTTCACTCCTTGAGACTATGATTCTGATCAATGTATCATCATCAGTGCCAGCTCCCTGGTTTTTAAAAAAAGGAAGAGCAGGAGAGTTTTTAAAAATCAATTAACAATACAAATTAGTCAGTGGAAGAGCTAGAATCTGAATCATCTGACATACAACACACCCTGATCTGTGGCATTTTGTTTAGATTTTTAACTGATTGTTATTTACTGTTGAACTGTTTCAAGGTATTGAATTATTGCCTCTGTTGTAAGCCGCCTTGAGTCCCCTTTAGGTTCAGGAGAGGCGGGATATAAATATAGTAAATAAATAAATTAATATTCAACTAAAAAACCCATAAAAACAGATGGTAAGTTATAGTTTGTGTTAGCCCTGATCAGTCAGTACCTTCTTTGGTATTTGAAATGCCATACAGCCCAGCTTACCTATCCGAACGTATCTCCTTCTATGAACCATCTCAGAGTTTAAGATCTTCCGGGGAGGCCCTGCTTTCGGTCCCACCAACCTCACAGGTGCATTTGGTGGGGATGAGAGACAGGGCCTTCTCAGTGGTGTCCCCTTGGTTATGGAACTCCCTGCCTAGTGACATCAGATCAGCCCCCTCCCTCCTGACCTTCAGGAAAAAACTGAAAATGTGGATGTGGGACCAAGCTTTTGGATTTCTATCAGTGCAATATGTGAATGTGGAATGATGCAATGATAACTGGAACGGTCTGGACTATGATATTGGATTATGTGATTTTAATCATTTTAATCTTGAAATGTTTTTAGTGGAGTTTTTTTATGTATATGTTTTATTTGCTAGATATGTGTTGTATGGCATCGAATGATGCCTTCATGTGCACCGCTCTAAATCCCCTTCAGGTGGGAAGGGCAGGATATAAATATGGCAAATAATTAATTAAAAGTGTTTTTAAAAAGAAAGCTTCCCACTACACTTATTTTATTTCATATATTGTTGAACATCTGGGGCATTTTCTTTCTCAGATATCTCAGCAAGAAAAAAAAACATACATGCTCATTTAGGATGATATTTGGAGGACATAATAGGATTTTTTCCAAGTAAGCATGCATAGGATTAAAATATCAAGAAGCTAAAAGCTTCAGAAAATAAGACATAGGTCATTAATTCAGAACTATTCAAACCAGAGTTTTCAAAAACGTTTTTGCTGTTGAAATGACTTACTTTCATTGCATAATAAAGCGATTCAGCCAAATAGGCAGGGATGCTTCGGACAGACTTCACTGGAAAAGAAAAACAATATATTCTAATGTGAAAGCGAGGCCTTAAAAATCCTGCATCCTCGAATGACAGGCTGTTTTGTGGAAATGGTATTTGCCTTCCAACACAGTGGGCTGTCAATGAAAAGTATTCAGAAGCTACAACTAGCAGGAAATGTGGCAGCCAGCTTGTTTATAGTTTGTGTTTTGGACACCGCATGTCACCAGTCCAGAGCCAGCTGTGCTGAATTCTGATTTGTTTCTGACTTCAATTCAAAGCACTCATTCTGACGTGGGACTCTTTCATATTACACAGTTATAGTGCTATTTTTTCATGTCAGGAGCGACTTAAGAAACTGCAAGTCGCTTCTGGTGTGAGAGAATTGGCCGTCTGCAGAAACGGTGCCCAGGGGATGCTTTACCATCCTGTGGAAAGCTTCTCTCATGTCCCTGCATGAGAAGCTGGAGCTGGCAGATGGGAACTCAGCCTGCTCCCCAGATTCAAACTGCCAATCTTTGGGTCAGCAGTCCTGCAAATCACAAGGATTTAACCCACTGCGCCACGGTGGGCTCCTATAATTACACTTTAACTGTTATGACTGCATCCTATGGAATTATGGAATTCTTAGTTTAGGGAAGAATAGTTAGAATCTCCAGCCTTCCTAAACTACTAACGTCAGGATGTAACCATGGCAGTTAAAGTGGATTTGTAGTGATTTAGTAATACAGTATACAACGGGCCCTACTACATAGCTTGAGACCATGATATAGAAGAAACCACCTTTTCTGGATGAGGCTGTCTGGCATTTGAGATCTTATAGTCCTGTTTATGTCCCACTACCTTGGGATTCAAGGTTGCTCAACACAGTGCCTTCTCTGGAGAAACCATTTTGTTGTGATGCTTTCTCACAATAGCTTCAAACTACAGGAAAGGAGATTCCACCTGAACATGAGGAAGAACTTCCTAACTGTGAGAGCTGTTCAGCAGTGGAACTCTCTGCCCTGGAGTATGATGGAGGTTCCTTCCTTGGAGGATTTTATACAGAGGCTAGATGGCCATCTGTAGGGGGTGCTCTGAATGCGATTTTTCTGCTTCTTGGCAGGGGGTTGGACTGGATGGCCCACGAGGTCTCTTCCAACACTATGATTCTAATTCAATTTAAGTCCAATCCTGCTATTCTTCTAATAGCAGGTGAGAATTAAATAATTCGGTCGGGGTTTTACTTTTTAAAACCTGTATTTCTGTTATCTGTTCTGGGAGGAAAAAATTAACAATTTCATTGTATGATAAGTTGGGTGTCCTGATGGGCAGAGAAGCAATTACTTGATTATTGTTGTGTGCCTTCAAATATATGGCACCGGCCCAGCATACCTGTCCAAATGTATCTCCTTCTACGTCCCGCCTAGGAATTTAAGATCTTCTGCTCTCGGCCCCGCCCTTGTCACAGATGAGATTGGCAGGGACGAGGGACAGGGCCTTCTCGGTGGTGGCCCCCCACCTGTGGAATTCACTCCCCAGGGAAATTAGATCATCGTCATCCCTCCTCTCTTTCAGAAGGAAATTAAAAACATGGATTTGGAACCAGGCCTTTGATCTGGCAGACTGACAAGGACAATGACGACTAAAGCTTTGGAAACGGACTATGATAAGCGGAATTAATTTATTAATTACGGACTTGGCAAAATGATGGCCACCAGGCTGGCTTTTTACTGTATAAATGTAATGTTTTAACTGTTTATAATTATTGTTACTATGTATATTTATTGTGTTGAATTGTAGGCATCAAACATATGCCGGTTGGAAGCCGCCCTGAGTCCCCCTTAGGGGGTTGAGAAGGGCGGGGTAAAAGTACCCGAAATAAATAAATAAATAAATTTCCAATTGATGGCACCCTTAAGCATGGGATTTTCTTGGTGAGCTTTGTTTAAGAGAACAAAGACTGAGTGAGTGGGTTTTCATAGCCAAGTTGGGATTCAAACCATGGCCTCCACAATTGTAGTCCAACACTCAAACCATTACACCATGCTGGCTCTCTTTTGATGAATAAATAATTACAAAGAATTGAAAATATTTATATTAAATTAGGACTCCAACAGAACCAAACAGTGATCTAGGCTGCAACTCTGTGTACATGAAGGCAGGAATAAAGTGAACACAATGAGACTGATTCGTAAACATGCATAATAGATCTATCACTTCATAACATTAAAAATTTAGAATTGAGACCAGCATGTTTTTTGGTTTTTTTTTATTGGTCAGGAGTGACTTGAGAAACTGCAAGTTGCTTCTGGTGTGAGAGAATTGGCTATCTGCAAAGATGTTGCCCAGGCAATATCCAAATGTTTTACCATCCTGTGGGATGCGTCGCTCATGTTCCCACATGAAAAGCTGGAGCTCACCCTGGTTCCTGGATTCAAACTGTCAACCTTTCAGTCGGCAGTCCTGCCTGCACAAGGGTTCAGTCCATTGCACCACTGGGTTCATATTAAGGTGAAATGCAACTAAAATCACTATCTCTACTTCCCCACTTCTAAGGACCTCAATAAAAAGATATTATTTATCCTTTACTCATTTGTATTTTATATAAACAATGTACTAAGAGGACTTCTCATTACCAATTGCCAGAAGCAGCTTCTCCATGGCTCCAGAAGTTTCCCGGTCAATTGTTTCTTCAATTTGAAAGCCAGAGATGGTCATATATTTATCAAACACTGAAAGAGAGAATACATGTGGTGACTATGTGCACTTAAATTTTCATTTGTAATTTGTAATTGTAAGTTGACAAAAAAAATAAATCACCTCAGTGCATTGTACAGTTAATTTTAAATACAACAATAATATAAGAATGTTCAACATGCTAAAATCACAGCAACAGGTCTACTTGCATTTGCTTCCAGTGCTAACATTTTCATCTCTTACCCTTCCTTAGGTGAGAAACACTTCGAGTTCCCAGGATGGTGATGAACTTTTCTTCATCTGTTCCCCATTTCAGCTCACCAGCTCTAAACAGCTCCTATTCAGAAGAAAATAATAAAGTTGGACCAGGCTTTAGTACAGCTGATAAATCACCAGCGATTATAAGATCTACCAAATGAAAGGTTGCCAGCTCGAAGTCCTGGGTTGGTGTGAGATCCCGACTGTTGACCCAGCTTACTGTTTACCTAAGAAGTTCAAAAACAGCTTGAGCTGTAAGTAGAGAAATTAGGTACCTCTAAAACAATCGAGGGAGTATTGTACGACATCAAAAAGAAAAAGATTATAAAATGCTTGGTGACCAAAAGGAAAGAGGAAGTCCTGATAGCTCTTCGTCATAGAGGATGGAGCGATAGCACCCCCCCCCCCCCCCCCCCCCCCCCCCCCCCCGTGGCTGGATTCAAACACAACCTCAAATGCGCCAAAAAGCTGCATGTCAACATAACATATCTCCTTTCTGTTCTGTCTGTCTCTGTCCTATCTATCCAAAATGGCATTGAATGTTTGCTGTGTATGTGTACTGTGATCTGCCCTGAGTCCTCTTGGGGAGATAGGGTGAAATATAAATAAAGTGTTGTTGTTGTTGTTATCATCATCATCATTATCATAAGGGTAAGTTTTGAAGATGTTTCTGTTTTCTGGACCAATCTTTTATAAATGCAGATACTTAGCCACAAGAGCATTTAAATATAGTCTTTACTAAATCCATATACAGACACACATTGCCAGATATAATAGGCTACAGCTCCTATCACCCCAGCCAGCAATTGCTATATTAGCTAAGGATAACTGGTGGCAATTCTATCTGAAGGATGGCATTTTAGGGAAGGCTCATTTGAGGAGGTGCTGAATATAGATTGCCTAAAAATTTCATTTTATTGGACATACAAACCAAGAAAAATCCAAGAATCCAAGAATACTTCACAGATGGTTTCATGTGGATAGTGCATCACATGATAGTTTCCATGATCGACATTTCACAAAGTTCATAAAGAAAAAACACGATTCCAGATGTTAGCCTTGTCCACTCAAGAGAACTTATTTAAAGCCATCTGCTAGCTAGCATTAATTAACTACTTAATGCAGATATGTTAGGATCATAATTTGTTTTGATATTACACCAATGCCTCTGGTACAATTATAAAACCTCTTTACAACCTTTCTGAACATAGTTTCTAATTGCTATGTAAATAAGCCTCCATCCAAAATGAAAATGAGGGCGGCATGCACTTGCCCTCATCATTTTTATGGCTGTCTGTTCAAATCTAAAAGATGTGACATGCTTATCCAAATGACATAGCAATTCACGGGTTGGGTTGCAAAGGTGATGTCTGACCAGATCCTCCATGTTATGCTCCCTTATAGGTCCAAAAGGGTAATGCCTACATTATTATGTGTAGCCTTTCCAATCATTCTGTAACATTTCTCAGGTGCACATGGCTTCACCCACTGAATTTCCCCCATGTGGTGTTTATTCCAGTAGGTTAGAACAGTGCCCTGGATTGCCAAAATAAGCCCTATGCCATTATGTGCCTGTCACAACAAATAAGACATGTGCAGTGTGCATAAGAATTCATTCATTTTTTCCAAACTATAGTCCAGCCACCCAACAGTCCAAGGGATTGTGAATTAGCCATCTGTTTAAAAAGTTTGAGGACCCCTGATCCATGCCATTATGTATCTTACAAGATATAGATGTGCTCATTTTAGGATGGAGCTGTGAAACCTGCAGGGTGAAGGCCACATAAAGTCTTCTCTAAGGCTCTCCCCCAAGGGAGTTATTTCAATCAGCCAGGACTAGACTGGCAACTGCCACCCTTTTTGTTGGCTGCCCCCAAATTGTGAAATGACCTACCAGGAGAATTCAACAAATAAACATGCTGTCTGGATTTTACAAACAGGTCTGGTCTGGCCATTGCCTGGATAAGTAATTGCTTGACAAGCTGCAGTTGATGACTCCATTTTGTTATCAGTATGCTGTTGGACTTCAACGTTGGCAGTTCGCTTTGGACCTCAGTGGAGGTGGATGCAGTATGCTTTTGGGCCTCAAGAGAAGCAGTTGTCTTTTGGGCTTTTACAGGAACAATTTACTATATGTTTGCTTTGAGAAGCAGTGAGTACAATTATACAGTTTGGACTTTCATAACATGTATACTTAAAGACTTTGGACTATGGACTATTAGGAATGATACCCTGTGTTCTCAACACAGAGAAACGACATCCTATCTAGAAATGTACCTGTGTACTAAATTAATACAAGATGTTTATGAGTAAACAAGATACGTTACTTTTTGAAAGAAGACCTTGATTTTTGTCTCTAAGTGCCTAAGAGGTTTCAAGGGAGTGTATATGTTTTGGACAACTTCAACTTCAAAGAATTTTTTTCAAAACTCTGCTAGCTATGCATTTTTTGTGCAGTAGCATGTCTTTCTCCCTGGTAGTTCAGAGACATGGTTTATCAGTTTAACAGCTGTGTTATCTGTATGCCATTACATAAATGCTTGTGAACATCACTTTTTCAAATGGTTGACTTCTAACAAGGTCATGCCTTTCCTCGATTTTCAAAAGGTGGTCTCCAGATGGTCATGGAGATTCACATTTGCCAAAAGGATAGGACATCATTTTTCCTTTTCAAAAAGCTTATTAATGCCATTTTTCCAAAAGCAGTGGTGTAGATGTACACATTCAGAAGAGCCTTTCTTCACTATGAATGCAACAAACTTTGCCCTTCAGAAGTTTTTGTACTACAGCTCCCATAATCCATATCCATTGCATATGATGGCTAAAATTGATACGAATAAAAAATATTTGGAAGCCATTGTTGTCCATCCACTACTTTATTAGGTAACATTTCTTCTCACCAGTTTTATTTAGGGAATGGCCATGACCATGAATAAGAAAGGCTAGTGCTACGATGACATGATTAACAATGCCTGCAAGACATTTCTTCTGCTTATACCCACAGAATACAGAAGAAGCCAAGGGCTACTCCCAAGACTCACACTGGATACAACCCAAGGGATTATGCAAATAGCAAGATGAATTGCTGCCTTTGGGTGTTGTTTTGCTTTGAGAAGCCACCATTCCTGTAATTTAAAAATTGCTCTTGGAGCTCCCACAGTGTATTCCTTTGAGAGTAAAGTGTTGACTCATAAGAGACTGTGATTCAAAACAAGTCCTGGTGTTTCTTCAAAACCAATTTCGATCCAAAAGAACACATCTCTAAAGAACAGCAGGCCTCCCCTGTTTGTAGCAATATTGAAGTTCATTCAGAAACTCCAAACGGCAATTTAAAGTTCACAGGGAGAAGAAGATTACTTAAATTTCTGATTAAATAAAGTGCCTGATTCCCTGTTACTTTCAAGAGTCCGGTTTAGGGCTAAACAGCAGGAAATGCTCATTTGGCCAAGAGGATTTCATTATTCTCATCAGGCCTGCAGAAGTCAACATCAAGTTGGCAAACATATATTGTGAAAACTCCTATTATCTCTGTAATGCCAGTACAGTGTAGTCAATACTAGTTGAGCATCTCTTGTCCACAAATCAAAAATGCTCCAAAATCCAAAATTATCCATATGGGGGGCTAATATGAGTGCTTTCTGGTATTCAATGTACACAAACTTTGTTTCATGCACAAATCTATTAGAATTATTATCTTTATAATTACCTTCACGCAATGTGTGTTAAGATGGCTATGAAAAATGTTCAGACTGAAATTGAAGATCAACAATTCGTCCTGTCGTCAAGCTACCTCATTATGTTTATGAAAATATTCCAAAATCCAAAAAAGAAATCCAAAAGATTTTTGGTCCCAAGCATTTCAGACAAGTGAGACTCATCCTGTATACTATGTTTCTATTAGTCTTTTCTCTTCTATGAAATATTGTTTTTTCCATCTATTTCTACTAGAAAACTTCAAAAACACTTCTGCTTCAAAAGTATGGTGTTTGATGAAGCTGTCCTGGGAGGAACAGCTAGGATCACTATAATTAACACAACCAGCCAAATCTAAAATAACGTATGATCTAACTGGCCCCTTTGTTGCTACCACTCCTTTTTCCTGTTTGTAAACCGGCATAGAGAAAACAAAGTGAAGTCATGGAAACGTTTTTCACCAGAAACATTGGCTTGCCTGAAATCTTCCTGAAACAGTCACTTCTGTGGTGGCAGGCTCTGCAATATAGTTACTTTTAAGTAGCAGTATAGTTTTAACTCCCAACCTTCTAATGAGTCATTATATGAGTATCATCATTATGACATATGCTAACTTGATTTCGTATACAGTAGAGAGTTCAGCTAGGAACTAGGAAGCATGGATCGAATCGATGGTCAGTCCTGAAGCTCCCTGTGAGATACAAGGCAATCTAGTAAACTGAACTGCCTCCCAAGGTTTTAGTAAAGTTACATTTCTGGACCTCAGCTCCCAGAATTCCCTTCACACAATGATTATGCTGGTAAGGAGTCTTATAGTTTTAAAAATTTACATTTCCAAGTTCTGGGTAGCTTTGGCATTGCTCTGGGTTCCTTACATAAAAATGAATGGTAATTAAAATATACGTTAAGGTCCTACAGAAGATCTTCTCCAAAGATAAAAATATAAGCATCTTATTTTTGGCAAAGCCTCTCAATAGTTAAGGCTATTCTCATCACCAATTACCATATATACTCGAGTATAAGCCGACCCGAATAGAAGCCGAGGCACATCATTTTATCACAAAAAATTGGGAAAACGTATTGACTCGAGTATAAGCCAAGGGCGGGAAATGCATCCACTATGGGTCAATTTCAAAATAAAAATAGATACCAATAAAATTACATTAATTGATGCATCGATAGGCTAAATGTTTCTGAATATTTACATAAAACTGTAATTTAAGATAGGACTGTCCAACTCTTATTTAACCATTATTCGAACCTCCTGCAATGTAAATGTACTTGTTATTAAAATAATAAATATAATAAAAATAATAGAATAAAATAAGGAAAATGCAATAAAAACAGTAATAATGGAGTAAAGTAATAAATGTAGTAATAATAGGGTAAAATACTGCAAATGTAATAATAATAACAATAATAATAATAATAATAATAATATAAATGCAATAATAATAATAGGGTAAAATACTGTAAATGTAATAATAATAATAATAATAATAGAACAAAATAATAAATAGAATAATAATAGAGCAAAATAATGTAAATATAATAATAATAGAGTAAAATAATAAATGTATTGAAATTATACTAATAACAGAGTAAAAGAATAAATAACTTTGACTCGAGTATAAGCCAAGGGGAGCTTTTTCAGCCCAAAAAAGGGGCTGAAAAACTAGGCTTATACCCGAGTATGTACAGTAATTTATATAAAAATAAATAAATGGATATTGAAAAAAATCAATTGGTGATGAGAATAGCCTTAACTTAAGATGAAAATAAATATGGGATGAGCAGCCTTCAATACCACTCCAAATCTTCTTCAGCCTTTTGGCAGATCAATAGTTAATCTGTCATTTGGAACCTGTGAATCTGGTGTGAATCAAAACATATCTAGTCCATGGCCAAACCCTGGCACTGTCCACTTGTTCTGGTACTTGGTACTTTATTGAGTTAACTAAAATACGTGTAGAGTTTGTTTCCAAAAGGAAAAGCTATAGGTGGCAGCATATTATTGGCTAGTAGAAGATTATGGACAGATCAAAATTATCAAAATGTATTAAAACACTTCAGTATATAGAGCTTGGGAAATTTCATAGCAAAATAATTATATCCACACTTTTTTTCAGTTCCTCTAAAATTTGTTCAGATGAATTTGTTACTTTTTGGAAACATGATCCACAAATGTAACACTTACAAATGTAATCTTGCAAAACATTCCTTTTGATGGCATCCTTAAGAAGTGATATCAGTTTTTTTAACTGTTTGGAAAATGTGCTCGGACTCCATATAATGCTATCTAATCTAGCACATAATGACTTAAATGTTATATTTAAACATATTTTGGGCTTTATGTGAAATGTACTTTATTAGAGTACAGTAGTTGTAATGAACATCTCCCTCAGTAATAATATAACTGAAGCACATGTTTTCCTCATTTTTGGCAAAAGAATGATTACATCTTCGAGACCACATCTCCTTCTATGGACTGGTATGGGCTCTGAGATTTGCCAAGGATACCCTCCTGTCTGTCCCCACCAACTTCCGTCTCAAGTGCGGTTGGAGGGGACAAGAGAGGGGGCCTTCCCAGTGGGGGGGGGGCCTTGCTTTGGAATGTCCTCCCAAGAGAGATCAAGCTAGCTCCCACTCAAGCTAGCTCCCACGGACACAACTGAAGACATGGCTTTTTAGACAAGCCTTTGATCATGTTTAGAAATCTTTAATGAACACTTTTGAGGACCAAGAGATTATTTCACCTTGCACTTTATGATATTTTTTGCAGTTTTTAAGGTGCCCTAAGTCCCTTTGAGAGATGATACAAATAGATTATTATTATTATTATTATTATTATTATTATTATTATTATTATATCTGAAGGAACATTATTTTTCCCTAGCATCCTAAAGAAGACTAAATATGGTAACTTCAGCTTCACTCACTCTTTACTAACTAGTTCCATTTCAAGTTGAAAAAAATCTAATTCTCTACCAGTTGAACATTCAATTTGCATAACAGATCAACAGGGCTGTTGTTTTGCATGGGGCCACACTAATTAAAATTCCTGGAAATGCAGCTAATCGTTAACATTTTTTTTTTACAGATGGCAATAAAGAGGAAAGGCCAGTTTGTAGAGAAAATTGTAGCAGTCACTAAAACATGACTGTCACTTTATTTTCTAGCAGCCATTTATTTCCTTAAAGCTTTTTAAAATGTGTCACTCTGCAAAAACAAAAATGATATTTGACACTTCAATCAGCTCTGACACCACAACCCCTTTTAAACACACACCCCTGGATTTTGTATGAACTGATATCATTTCCTTGTAGGAATCATACCCTTAAATTGATTTTGTCATTGCTTATGTCTTTAGGATGTTTTTCATGCTCATATGGGTGAACAAAAGGACTGAGGAAATCTTCACTTACCTGAGCATCTTGCTCCACTAGCTTCTCATTAACTGGGCCATCAGGGTCTCTATTAGCCTAAATGGGGAAAAATAAATGCATATTAACTAATAAATGATTTAAAACCATGCTTTCTCAAAATTGAAAAATAGTTTGAAAGGGAAATTTGTACCCACACTGTATTTGTTCACTTCATATGTCCTATACCTTCTATTACCAGGAATTTCCAAATGTTGTTGGACTCCTAACTTTCCACAGTGTTCATTATGCAGGCTATAGCTGTTGGCTCTTGCCATTCAACAAAGTATGGACTACGGAGTGCTACATGGTTCCTACCAATGATCTTTGATATTTTTTGCCTTCAGTATGAGGATAATCCAAATACTAGGCTATGTTCTGCTTGGGTAAGAAAGGTCATTTTAGCTCTGAATGCTGAATATATAGATTCAAAGTGATACAGGCCAAGGGAATGATACAGGCCAAGGAATGAAGTTGCCTTAGATAGTGATGCAGGCCAATAGACTACAATTGTCTCTGGGCTCCAAGGTTAATCACAAGAGTCAGAAACAACATCCTTAGATAAGGGGTCAAGTGAAGATGAATTGAAAGAAAACTTTCAAGGGAGAACACCTGGTGATACGGACCTAAGTAAGGATTTATGTCTGCAGATTAGGGCAGATAGTGAGCTCCGTAGATCAACAAGGCCTCATGGGAAACAGATAGAGAAAGTCAGTGGAAAATGCCATGACTTCATGTCTGTTTATTAACAGCCAGTGTGCACCCTAAATTCAGCTCAGGCAACATAGCATTTGAGTGAGAAGCTAGTCCTGAGTTCTCTGGTTCTTGTTTCAACTCAAGCCTTGGTTTTGGATTTAAGTATCCTGGAAGTTTTCTATGTTCTGGTTTTTGTATTCCTGCTCCTAATTTACTAAGTATAACTTGTGCTTGTGGACTTAAGCTATATCTGTGATTTTTGGCTATTCCTGGACTGTGTTACCTTTGAATCTATATAAGACATTTGGATTCCTGTTTGGTTATCACCTATTGCTAATCATCTTCTTTATACATCTTCTTTCTTTATTCCTGATTTTTTTCATATACTTCTAACGTGTTTTTACAATAAACTTTTTGCCTACACTCTGGACTCTAGTGTTGTGGTCATAGGTGGCTCCATGCTTGGGGTGCAACACTTTCAGACATCTTGGAATAGAAAGGATTTATATAAATCAAGCAAATCTAGGTTTGGAAGAGTTACTTCATTTGGACTTTGCTCCTAGAATTCCTGGCCACCAATCAGCCTGTTAGTGGAAGACTGGAGCTGTAGTCTTAAAAAGTAACTTTTAAGCATAAGTAAAGAGTAATGTGAACTGAAAGCAAAATGTTTTAGATACTCCAGTTTGTATAAAAGTAACTTCTACTATAATAAAAACTTACCTGAAGAAGAACTACCATCATCCTTTGATAATAACCAGAGGTGTCGGATGTTATATGATCTTCTAGGTTAGCTTCATATTCTACAAAAGACCATAAGCAGATACCATTAAACACAATTTGAACCATTTCAGTGCTTTGAAAAAGATGTAATCAAGAGAGAGTTATTTGTAATGGTGCTGGTTTTGTGAAGCATCAGCAAAGTGAGCAATTAATGCTATATGGAAAGAATGCCTATGGAAGAGTTAATGTAGTTGATGTTCTCTAAAAATGCAAAAACAGCAATAAACTGGCCTAACAACATCAGAAAATGGAATGGAAAAATGCAGCAAGCATGAATTCAATCTGCTAGCATTCCATCTGAAGATTTATGCAACAGGAAATAGCCCTGAAGAGTCACTTTATTACCAAAAACTTTTAATTACTTTGTCTTTCAATTACTTTTTCTTTCACTACAAATTAGCATGTGCCCGACTCGGAACTTGAGAAAATTACTTTATGGATTAATGTTCTCACAATCCTTTGAATAGCCAGTAATTGTGTGGTTCTGATAGCTATACCATGATCTCTAGAATTCCAGAGGATTGAACCATGCCAGTTAAAGTGGAATAATCGTTGGATAAATAGGGTCTGAAAGAAATTGGGATCCAAATTCTCAATTGGCAAAAACTGAAGCAATGTCATATTCTATCCATTTTCGATCCCCATAAATGCAGGAGCCTTTCTGAGTAGAGAGCTCAATGTTTTACCTTCCTCGTAAACCTGCTTTATATTCCGGACTTCAGCAGGTGTTCTCGAAGCAAAAATTTCTGTCAGAACTTTTTCATTTGTTCCTGCCCCCTGCAAATAACAAAATCAACTCATGAGATGACATATTGGCTCAGTTCATACAGCTAATATTACCCCCTCCCCAAAACACTGAAGGGAAGGATCAATTGGTTTCATCAACCTTTTTAAAATTCCGTAATATCAAAATAAAGATAATTTAACACCCAACATAAAGTAAAATACGGCCTGCCTCAAAAGAAATCCACAAGACTCATGGTTACAGAGTTCTGTTTTCGAAATGGCATGTGACCCATTAGCCATAGATGGAATCCCATAAATAGAAAACATGCTCACATGAACAAGAAATCTCTGGTAAAGTAAATAGCTAAAATAGGAACTCCCAGAACTCTTTCAATAAAACCAAATGAAGATTCTTTCGCCGATCTTGTATGTTTGACAAACTATAGGTTTTGGTTCAAAAAAACACAAATTGGTATTCTTCCCTTTCTATTCTCTCAGCATTATTATCAAAATGGCAAACTTCCAACTTGGAAACAATGAGCTCATTTTTGCTAATGTGTACAGGAAATCATGGCCTTTTGTCTACCCCCTTTTCGCCCTGTATAGAAACTCTACTGCAGCAAAATTTGTAACTAACACAAAGAAGAGAATTTAAAGATGTCCCCCACTGTTATTTCTATAGCTGAAGTGATCTGGTTAATGTAAGATGCCAATTAGCAATGTCTGCTAAATATTACAATACTGTTGAGGTTTTTGTACATCTCACTAGTTATTTGTTCAACACTTAAGACACTCAAGTAAACACCAATGTTAGGTCCGAGCGTATCTCTCTCTATGATCCACCTCAGAGACTAAGAGAGTCAGGGGAGGCCTTGCTCTCGATCCCACCCCCCTCTCAAATGCAACTGGTGAGGATGAGACAGGGCCTTCTCACTGGTAGCCCCTCATCTATGGAACTCCCTCCCCAATGAAATTAGATCAGCCCCCTCCCTCCTGGCCCTTAAGAAAAAAACCTAAAAACTTGGCTCTAGGATCTGACTTTTGGTCAATAATGGGAGTAGTGCAATAAGAGTCTATAAATTAATTTAATGATGACCCAGACTGGTCCTGGAATATGACCTGGATTATGTTATTTTAATTGTTGCTGTAATGATATGTTTTAATTGGTTGGTTTTAATGTTTTTGTTTATTCATTGATGTATGTGTACATGCGGCATTGAATTGTTGCCTTTGTAAGGCATAGCTGTAAGTATTTTGGGGAATATTTACTCAAGTCACCACCTTAATTCTTCATAAAAAATGGGAAATAAAAACATTAGAACTACAACAATAGCTGTAAACATTTTGGAGAAGGAGGTATTAGAACTATAACTGTATACTTAAAAACGTAACCTTCCAAATTCTCAAGACCAATAAAAAATATACCAACTCTATCCATAGAGTTTGCTTGGAAAAATTTATTTAGAAGAGATGGAACTTTTCAAAGGACATCCAGTGAGTTTCCATGAATCAACAAGAATGCAAACAGGCATTCAAGCCACTAGGCTACACAGGCTCAAGGCACAACTTCATTAAAATTCAAACACACCGTGAATACAAACAGAAAAATGTCCAGTGAAACCCTACTCATTTCTTCTTTTCTCTGCACTCATAGAGTGAACCACGATGTTTACTCTATTCTGATCTCTCTATTTCCAATTTCCATGTGATGCCAGGCCAAATATGAAAAAGACCATTTTTGGTGAATGCAATCACAGAGTTCAATGCACTCAGGACCACTGACAAAGCAATGCTTCCAGTCGTGTGCAATTCTGTAGCTGGTTTCACAAGAACCGACAAGTCCTTTTTAGACTTTCCTTGCCAACAGAGGAATACAGGCAGTCCCTGAGTTACAAACATCCACTTACAAACAACTTGCAGCTAAGGACAGGGATTTTTTTCATGTCAGGAACAACTTGAGAAACTGCAAGTTGCTTCTGGTGTGAGAGAATTGGCCATCTGCAAGGACACTGCCCAGGGGACACTCAGATGTTTTACTATCCTGTGGGAGGCTTCTCTCATGTCCCCGCATGAGAAGCTGAAGCTGACAGGTGGGAGCTCACTCCGCTCCCTAGATTTGAACCGCCAACCTTCGGTCAGCAGTCCTGCCGGCACAAGGATTTAATTCATTGCACTGAGAAGTCTACCCATGGGAAAGGAAATTCAGTCCTGAAAAGTGTCTCAACTGAAGCTTTATCTCCAGTTCTTGTTTCCACAATAAGTCACATTTTTCTAAAGGATGTTAACCCTTCCCTGTATTATCCAAAGCTTAGATCGATAGATAGATAGATAGATGGCTTGAATTACATTTTAAAAGTATCTGTTCCAACTTATATACACATTGAACTTAAGAATAAAGCTACAAGTTTGTAACTTGGGGGCTGCCTGTATTGGGAATGGAGAGGAAAAGACTCGTGAAGACAAAAGATTGCTTGAATATCGGGCAAAGCATCCCTTGTGAAGTGATTTCCAAAACATGGGTGCCACAACTATGGAGGTTTGTGTATATATGCCTCTACTTTCATGCTTAATGGAGACAGAGGGATGAGCAAAAAGGACTTGCACATTTACAGGTAGGTTTGTGAGGAAATAAATGGCCTACAGAGAGCCTAACCACTGCTTTTCATGTGGGCAGGATTCCAGAAGTTTGAACTGTTTACTGTTTGGCAGAAATGTGAATTCCCAGCTTGGGGTGGCAAGTCTAATGCGTAGCTTCAATCTCTGATTCAGAAAGTAAACCAAAGTGTAGCTGTAAGATCTATGGCACTGGAAAGCAATCAATCCCTGCTTTAACCAGACCTCAATGTCTGCAAAGCTCTACTCACTTGCATAATACAACCAAGGTGACAGGACTGAGAGCTTTTTCATTCATTAACATGGTTGACACAATCACTAACTGTTGACATAACCTTCATTACAAAAATTCACTGCTGGAGTCCTTGTGAAAAGAAGATGTGAGGCAGGAATGCCACATCAGAATTGTGGTTTTCATAGCTGTCCCTTCTTCTATTTGCCATCTAATTGGTTTTATCTCTTAAGTTAATGTAAAATCATAGCCTTTAGATTTTCTCAGCTACCTCCCATGAAGTTCTCCAAACTCCAGGTGCAGAGGGGAATCAATATTTGGCTACAATGGTTTGCTGACAGCAGTCAGGCCACTGGAATGTCATATGTTTACATAGATAAACAGTAGCTGCATTAGTAAGGGGGGAACCCCCCGTGGCGCAGTGGGTTAAAGCCTTGTGCTGGCAGGACTGAAGACCGACAGGTCACAGGTTCAAATCCCGGGAGAGGCAGATGAGCTCCCTCTATCGGCTCCAGCTCCTCATGCGGGGACATGAGAGAAGCCTCCCACAAGGATGATAAAACATCAGAAATCATCTGGGCGTCCCCTGGGCAACGTCCTTGCAGACGGCCAATTCTCTCACAAGAGGAGCAGTTGCTCCTGACACGACAAAAAAAATATTAGTAAGGGACTGAAGGTTGAGTGGGCTTGCGTATGGTGATTCACCATACTAGAGGTAGAAAATGTTGAAATTCAATTCACATCACCCTTAGCCAGCACATCCAAAAGGAATGCTGGAATTTGAGGTCCAACAATTTCTGGCAGGCTGCAGAGCTGCCTGGCTCAGTATTCCCAAGACCAATAAAACAGCTCTATAGAATATTTGGGCGAGATTTTTCTTCTTACCCTGCTAAACCTTCAGGATTAATTTGAAAGACAAGACCAAAGCATACAAGGAGGGAACACTGCTTATTATGAAGACTTCACAGAACAATTCACTACCTTTTCTAAGGATCTCATCACACTAGAGCATTGTTTCTCAATCTTCCTAAAGCTGCGACCCCTTAATACAGTTCCTCATGTTGTGGTGACCCCCAACCATAAAATTATTTTCATTGCTACTTCATAACTGTAATTTTGCTACTGTTATGAATTGTAATGTAAATAATCTGATATTCAGGATGTATTTTCATTCACTGGACCAAATTTGGCACAAATATCCAATACGCCCAAATTTGAATACCGGTGGGGTTGGGGGGTGATTTTGTGATTTGGGAGTTGTAGTTGCTGGGATTTATAGTTCACCTACAATTAGAGAGCATTCTAAACTCCACCAATGATGGAATTGAACCAAAACTCCCATGACCAACACAAAGTACTGGAAGGATTTGGTTGGCATTGACCTTGAGCTTTGGAGTTGTAGTTCACCTACATCCAGAGATCACTGTGGACTTAAACAATGATTGATCTGGACCAAACTTGGCACGAATACTCAATATGCCCAAATGTGAACACTGTGGAGTTTGGGGAAAACAGACCTTGACATTTTGGGAGGTGTAATTGCTGAGATCTATAGTTCACCTACAATCAAAGAGCATTCTGAACCCCAATGACACAATTGGGCCAAACTTCCCCCATGACCAATACAAAACTGTTTTCTGAGGACCCCTCTGTCACTTCCTTGCAACCTCCCCCCCCCCCCCCGGGTCCTGACGTCGAGGATGACAAATGCTGTACCAGAGTATCTATTCACTTTAAATCTTGGTACTGCCTTCTGCAGACTTCTGGGGTTAAACCGCTGAGCTGTTGAAAACCAAAAGGTCACCAGTTCAAATCTGGGGAGCACGGTGAGCTCCCGCTGATAGCTCCATCCTCTGCTAACCTAGTAGTTTGAAAACATGCAAATTTGAGTAGATCAATAAGTACCACACCAGCGAGAAGGTAACGGTGCTCCATGTGTTCATGCTGGCCACATGACCTTGGAGATGTCTATGGACAATGCCGGCTCTTCAGCTTAGAAAGAGATGAGCACCACCTCCCAGAGTCGCACACAACTAGACTTAATGTCAGGGGAAAACCTTTACCTTTACTAAACCAAAGCAGCAATGTTGGTCATCATTTTAAAAATGCTTCCACTAAAATCACAGAGGCACAAAGTGATAAGATATTTTGTAAATGTGAAATTTTGATCATGGCATGAATACCTTTAATGTACACAGTCTACTATGTAGTTCCTATAAAAAGATAATGAACCTCTGAAAGCCTGATCACTCAGATCTCTTTAAAATTACTCAGATGAATAAGGAGATAGATGGAGTCATTAAAATGAAAGTAATTGCCAAAAACAATCAAGCAGATCAAACACCGTAAAAGAATATCTGAGAATAAAAAAGGAGGCTCAGTTCTAAAGAAAGCAAGATTTTAATAATTTTTTTTTCATTTTACCTTAATGGCATGCTTCACTGCATGGGCATCATAAATTCGTGCAGGTCTCATCAGATTAACCATCAGCGTCTCAAATTTGCCTGTGAGTTCCGACTTTAGATCATCACAAAGGTCCTGACAGAAACAATGGAAGATGCCTTATGAATAAAAAAAACAGTTTGAAATTCATGCTTCAGTCAAACTTAGAATATTGCTGAAATAAATAAACTCAAAAGGGGCAATATATTTTGGGTGGGCTGGAAAAGGGACAGTAGGTCTTTGGGATCTGCTAGGATTGGATTCCAGGACCCTGCTCTACCTCAAACCCTGTGAATATCAAAATCCATGGATGCTCAAAACCCATTATATACAACAAAATGGCACCCCTTATATAAAATGGTCAAGTCAGTATTTGCTTTTTATAGAATCATAGAGTTGGAAGAGACCTCGTGGGCCATCCAGTCCAACCCCCTGCCAAGAAGTGGTAAAATCGCATTCAAAGCACCCTTGACAGATGGCCATCCAGGCTCTGCTTAAAAGCCTCCAAAGGAGGAGCCTCCTCCACAATCCAGGGCAAAGAATTCCACTGCTGAACAGCTATCACAGTCAGGAAGTTCTTCCTAACATTCAGGTGGAATCTCCTTTCCTGTAGTTTGAAGCTATTGTTCCGCATCCTAGTCTCCAGGGACAAATAAACATGTTTGCTCTCTCCTCCCTATGACTTCCCCTCACATATTTATACATAGTCAACATGTCTCCTCTCAGCCTTCTCTTCTTCAGGCTAAACATGCCCAGCTCTTTAAGCTACTCCTCATAGGTCTTGTTCTCCAGACCTTCGATCATTTTAGTCATCCTCCTCTAGATACATTCCAGTTTGTCAACATCTCCCTTCAATTGTGGTGCCCAGAACTGGACACAATAGTCCAAGTGTGGTCTGACCAAGGCAGAACAGAGGGGTAGCATCCCTGGATCAAGAGACTATACTCCTATGCTGGCCAAAATCCCATTAGCTTTTTTTGCCGCCACATGACATTGTTGGCTCTTGTTTAACTTGTTCTCCACGAAGACTCCAAGATCTTTTTCATATGTACTGCTGTCAAGCCAGTATGTGTGAAAAGTACATTTTCAAAAGTCAGTACGTTTTCTTTTTTAATATTTTCAAGCTATGAATGGATGAATCCATAGCTTGAAAATATCAATGGGTAGGCCAACAATGCAGAATAATTCCAGCAGACTCAAAATATTATCCTTCACAGAACATATATGTGTGTACACATATGCACAAACTCCCAACCCAAAGCAAAGTACTTACTCTGCCAAATAAGGTTTTAAAAGCTATAGCAATTTCCTGACGTTGAGCATTGCTTCTGCTTGTTAGGATCTTCACGATTGAGTCTTCATCAGTCCCTGAAATTATGCAAATGCAAAACAGAGTGATTTGCTGCAAGAAGATGAACATCAATATTTTGTAGATGAAATGAGTCACAGAACATAATTATGCATGAATATTCCATTTCTAGCAATCCTGCATTATGTATAGAATATAAAATAAATAGTTTCATACTATCTCCAATCTGTCTCTTTTCAATTTACAGTAAGAAATTCAATGATACTGAATTCCTCAGGAAAATGTTCATACCAAGTAGATGAACATCATTTCCAAGCATTGCTCACCACTTGTTTTTGCCTATTTGTTTCAACAACCTACTGCTTTCATGCTATTCCTTGTTAATCGCATTACAATATACTATCCCCTAATTAGCCTGCAAATCAGATTTAGTTACTTAACAATGTCACAACTGAGTGGAAGCAAAAAGTGATACCATCACTCAGAAGAGGTTTCCCTGTTATTTTGGCTATATAATGACAAGATAGAGTAAAAGCAATGTTCCAGGTTGATATGCTAGAGAAGTGTTTCTCAGACTTTGCTCCTTCAGATGTTTGGGCTTCAGGTGCCACAATTCCTAACAGCTGGTAAGTTGGCAGGGATTTCTGGGAGCTGAATCAAAGAAACATAGAGTTGGAAGAGACCTCGTAGTGGGTCATCCAGTCCAACCCCCTCCCCAGCAGGAAAATCGCATTCAAAGCACCTCTAACAGATGGCCATTCAGCCTCTGTTTAAAAGCCTCCAAAGAAGAAGCCTTCACCACACTCTGGGTAGAGAGTTCCACTGCTGAATTGCTCTTATAGTCAGGAAGTTCTTCCTAATGTTCAGGTGGATTCTCCTTTCCTGTAGTTTGAAGCCATTGTTCTGCATCCTAGTCTCCAGGACAGCAGAAAACAAGCTTACTCCCTCCTCTCTATGTTTTCCCCTCACATGTTTACACATGGCCATCATGTCTCCTCTCAGCCTTCTCTTCTGCAGGCTAAACACGCCCAGCTCTTTAAGCCGCTCCTCATAGGGCTTGTTTTCCAGACCCTTCATCATTTTAGTGGTCCTCCTATGGACACATTCCAGCTTGTCAACATCTCCCTTCAACTACAGTGCCCAGAATTAGATACTGTGTGATTCCAGATGTGGTCTGACCACGGCAGAATACAGGGGTAGCATGACTTCCCTGGATCTAGACACTAGACGCCTATTGATGTAGGACAAAATCCCATTGGCTTTTTCGCTGCCAAATGACATTGCTGGCTCATGTTTAACTTGTTATCCACGAGGACTCCAAAATACCTAGAGGAGCGGAGTTTGAAAAACTAGAGCAAAAACAATATTCTTCATTCAGGTAAACACCTTTTTACCAAGGACTCCAAAATAGTCATTGAAACAGGGAGTGAATTTAGGATGGGCACAGATTTTCATGATCCCCTCCCCCCCTATTTTAGTTTAGTTTTGCCACCAATTTCTCAAAGACAGAAAGACAGTGGTTGTTTCCTACTTTGGCTCATCATCTGTCTGCCAATATTTGCTAAGTAAAAGTTAACACATTGAAGAAATCATTAACATTTTAAGGATACTGATAAAAAATACCCATTAATCTGTAATTCAGTTTAGTTTGCTAACAATGGGCTCTGCAAACTAGTGCTTTTATTTCAATATGTCAACTAATAGTAATTGATTTATGGGATCTCATGAAATGTTAATGATGCTTGACATCTTATCCTTTGGATATCAATGAACGGATGTCAAGTTCATGTGTGGGAGGCGAGAATCAGACCCAGCCCTAAATATCTTGATCTCACTGATAATAAACATTCAAATTCTTATTCTGTTAATCACCAGTTGATAAGATTCATGTGAGTGGGAGCATAGAGACTCTGGAAGGAACCTTAGACAAAATCAGACCCATTAATCCATTTTCTCCAAGATTGGCAGATAGGAATGTGAGGAATGCTCACACATTTTTCTTCCTCCATGATAAAGGATGTCTTGACAAACTGAGTAACACCATCAAAAATAGTCAAGGTTTTAATATATAAAAAGGCTTATTTCAAAAGAAAGTACAAAATACACACACAAGGTTAAAAGTTCATTTACAGATTTAACTCTTTACAAGAATGAATAGTTTCAAACTTTTTCTCCCTAATGCATATAGGAACTTCTGTGCATTTTTAGAAAGATTTTTCACAGTATAAGTGCTGTGTGTATGTGTATGAATTTATCTATATCTATATACAGCAACTGTTGAATATTTTCTTAAACAGGTATCAAGTACCTTCGAATATTGAGACCCTCTATATCAAGGACCAGAAAATTTTTTCAGCATTTTTTAAAAAGCAACATTTGCACATGAATTCTTTATGTATTTATTCTCCCTCAGCAGGGAGAAAACTTCTGAAATTCTTTCTTCTTCTGAAAGAGAATTAAATATGTGAAAAAGTACATCCAGGCTTTAGCACAGCTGGTTAATCACCAGCAGCAATAGATCTTTCCCAACTGAAAGGTTGGCAGTTCGAGCCCGGGTCAGGAAGAGCATCTGACCTTCAGCCCAGCTCACTGTCCACCTAAGCAGTTTGAAAACAGATGTGAACTGTGAATAAAGACATTAGGCACCGCTTAAGCCGCGAGGTATTTTACAGCACCATAAAAAGCCTGCAATCAAAGAACAGGAGGAAATCCTGTGATCAAAAGGTCATAGAGGATTGAGCAACAGCACCCCCTGTGGCCGGAATCAAGCATAACCTCCAGGATGCTGAAGTTGAAAAATGCTGACACATAATCTATTTCTCTGTCTGTCCTGTATGTCTAACAGCATTGAACGTTTGCCGTGTATGTGTTCTGTGATCTGCTCCAGTCCCCCTCCGGAGTGAGAGGGCAAATATAAATGCTGTAAATAAATAAACCTCTCCAATCTCAAGGGTTTGAGCTGAAAGGTCATCCGACCTTCCTTGGAAATGCCATAGACTTAATTTGGGGTCATTATCATAAGGGAGAGGTTGTAAAAACATGCAATACCATTAAGCTATGGCCATTCCCATCCTTCTCCATTAAGCCCTCATCCTCAGTTTTCATAGACCTTCATGTCTCAAGGCTTAATGTCAGCAAAGCTTAGCTGACTGCTTCTCAATGTTCCCTACATGATTCAAAAACACAGTTTAGAGCAGTTATTTTTTGCACTACAACTCCCAGAATTCCCTTGACCACACATGGGGGATGCTGGGAGCTGTATTCTAAATGAAGCAGACTTGCAAGTTCTTTTTAGAAGCCCGGAGAACACTGGGAGCCAATCTGGATGCAGAAGGTTCTCTGTTACAAACGTTGCCATTCACTCCTTGACACACAACTTTAACAATGCAGCTTTAATCACACGGACCTCTATGTCACAAGGATAATATGCCGCACTTACCCAAGCCTTTCATTGCTTTTCGAAGAGCCTCAGCATCAGCTCTGGCATCAAAGCCAGGAAAAGGTTTCACGGTGCCTCTTGTATACTAAAAGAAAAATGAAATTACCTTGATGCATTGTATATCTATTCATATTATCCTAAAAGCCATTATCAAAGGGTGCATTAGCCCTTCAATAGTGTCTATCTTATTAACATTTTTAAAGCAATAAAAGCATCTTTTAACTCTAAATTGTCAACCACAAAGATTTGGCACAGTTTCAATTCTTATCACTAGACACATGTACTGCATGAAAGAGTCTTCTTTCATGGCAAAAGCTTGTCGAACCATGAATTTACACATGCTCATCCAACAGCGAGTAAGAAAAGTTTGCATAATGTGAAAGTTTGCATAGAAGACAAAAATGAAAATTTACCATTCTCGTTTCCCTAAAAATAAATCCAAGCAATCAAGGTTGCAAAAGAATTGAGCCATTAGTAATCACAGAAAAATTAAACACAAGAATGACTGTGTAGTACTGAGTTTGTTGTTTCAGAAAAATGAGGTAATTTATCCTCAGATGTATGCTTTCTTCCCTCCAATTAAAACAGCTTAAACCTTTTCTTCCTTTTCTTCAGGTTCCCATTATTTACCTTGTAGTCTAAATCTACACGCATTGATCTGGTGCCCTCAGAACAATGGATGATGAGAGTTGCATTCAACATATCTAGAGTTTAGGAAATGCTAACTTAAGGCAAGAAATAATGCATAAATCAACCAGGTTGGTCCCACCACTGTAACAAGAGCATTTGGTGGGATGAGGGAGAGCGTCTTCTCGGTGGTGGCCCCCTGGCTTTGGAACACCCTCCCCAGGGAGACTAGGCAGGCCCCCACACTGTCCTTCTGTAGGGATCTGAATGAAGACTTGGGTGTTTAAACAAGCCTTTGAGAATGGTCAGCAGTCAATGACACAGCACTGCACTTCCATCCCATGCCCTTGTTCCTTAGATACAATTTGCACTCTCCCGTTCCCTTGTCTTGTTTACAGTCTGGCCATGTCCTACAGTAGTTGTCACCACAGGTTTTGGACACTGTTCTGAGTTTTACATTGTTGTTTTATATACTATATGTTTTACTTTATTGTATTGTACTGTGTGTTTATTTTATGCTGTTTTAAGGCACTTTGTGCCATATGTAAGCTGCTCTGAGTTTTTTGGGGAGATGGAGCGGCGTGCAAGAATAAAGTTATTATTATTATATCACTATAAAGTTGTCCTCTCTTCTCCACTTTTATTTTTATTTATTTTATTAACTTAATTTATTCTCCTCCTTTCTCCTGTAGGGACTCAAGGCAGTGAACAGTTCCACACTTTAGTCAAAGTGCACATCCAGACAGGGCAGAAAATGCATGCCCTCCTGGATTTTTATGTGGGGCATCAAGAACGATCCCACACATAAAAACAAATTCTTTCAGGACAAAGCAGGAAAACCCTCAGAAGTCCTGGAACTTCTGAGGGGTACATTCACACAGCCCTCTCGTGTTTTCTGGGCTCCATAAGCCCAGAATATCCAAGAAGGCCCTCCCCACCCCCCACCCCCAGAAAAGCCTTTAAAAACAAAAATAACTTACCCAGCCACCATTACCGTGCTGCCGGCCCTGTCCTGGTACATAGAAATGGCACGCCAGGAGAAGGGGGGGGGGAGGACAATCGCTCCTGGCACATCATTTCTACGGACCAGGAGAGCTCCAGAGAAGAGGGCAAGTTATTTTCCTTTTAAAAGGGCTTTTCTGGGGGGTTTTCTGGCAGGGCATCTGGACACCCACCCCAGAAAAGCATGAGCTTTCTGGGGCATGTGCGCACTTTAGTGCAAGTCCAATTGGGTTTTTCAAAATCCAATTGGACTAACATTAAAGTGCTGTCTGGAACTGCCCAAAGCTTTTTTAAAAACACAATACAAACATTTAGAAACAACTAAATACTACACTGTGGTAAGAACAGATTAAATTTTCATAAATACACTTAAAATAGTCTTTGAAACTCACCCCCACCCCTAGAATTGCATACACACTTCCCCAGCAGCATGCCCCTTATCCTTCCTCAAATGCCTGCTGGCATGAAGACCTGCAGGGATGGGGTCACCCTGGTCTCTCTCAGGGAATGGATAATGGGCAAGAAACTTTTTGTTAGGGACATACACATGTGTAATAGCAGATGTGAAGGCAAAATGTTCATCTGTACCTTGGCTTTGGAAATTGCACATTGTGTGTTTTGTGTTATGGTTGTGCATGCTATAGTTTGCATTACAGTTGGCCACCATGTATTGTGCATTTAGCAATAGCACCTAGGTGTTCCACGATGTTGGTATTCTGCATGTGATGGCATAGCCCACACAGAGTGTACCTCTATCTGCAGACATTCATGCTATGCTAAGAGGATGTCAAATGGAGGCCCTTGTGTGCTTTTCCTGCAGATGAAGCACTTGGAGTACTGGCAGTTTGTTGGCTTAGAGCAGTTATCTACCAGGCAGCCAAGTATCCTTTAGGCATTTCCCTAATTTTGGAGCTGTTAAGAGTACAAGTGTTGCAATACTCCTGTCACTATGATCTTCTGTTTCAGAGGTGGAAGGAAACCAGAAAGCAAGGGCACACTCATCATAGCAGCCACTATTGTGTTTACTACACCTAGATGCTTTTCCCTTTGTTAATACAGCAGTGTGTGGCAGCTGCTCCATTGAGAGGTAATATGATTCAGCTTTGACATGCCCTGAAACACTCTACTGCCTTTTTAAAAAAGTATGTCTTTTGTGCAGATGCCAATATTGGCTAGTTCTTTGTTTTTCTTTTTGGCTTATGTGCGCCCTCAGATGTTAAGCCTTGGTTCCAATTTTTAACAATGAGCCAACTTACTCAAAATAACGAACAGAACTGAGTTTCCTGTAATAGTCAGATTAGAACCTGGATGAAATTTGTCACTGCAATGGTATGGGTGCTACTTATCACTATTGTTTAAAATAATGCAGGAAAGGTATACAGCAGACAATTTTCCCATATTATGATGATGTGTGTTTGCAACTATGTTATGTTAGAGACAGACAGACAGGCAGACAGGTAAAGCTAAAGATGTCAACATGCCTCCCCACATGGCATAATCCTCAACAATTCCTTAGTCAGCATGCTTCCTATGTTTTTCTCATATGAAATGCTCATGAAAAGCTTCCTTGACAAAGAAGAAGGAACGGGACATATAACTTTTGTCAGGGCGATCATAACCAGTAAAGAATGGTAGAATCATATTATTAATACATAGGATTTCTTCTGGAACTTTTCACATCCATAGCACTAACGCAGAAAAGGAAGCTACAGTAAACTAGCGGAGGTGTGGAATTAACTGAGTTACACTGACAATAAAAAACTAGCAATGATTTAATGAGGGCACAGTATCTTTTTTCCCCACAATCATGTTTAATGTCAGTAGTGTCAGGAGTGTGGCGGAGGCTCCTTCTTTGGAGGCTTTTAAACAGAGGCTGGATGGCTATCTGTCGGGGTGCTTAGAATGCGACTTTCCTGCTTCTTGGCAGGGTGTTAGACTGGATGACCCATGAGGTCTATTCCAACTCTATGATTCTATTATTCTAAACAGTTCAGACCCAGGTTGTTTGAGAAACCACATATCTGCATACAAACCGGCACGGGCTTTGTGGTCTGCAGAGAAGGCCCTTCTCTTGGTCCCCCACCCCCCCACCCCCCGTATCAGGCACGGCTAGTGGAAATGAGAGATGGGGCCTTCTCCATGATTGCTCCCCGCCTCTGGAACTCCCTCTCGAAAGAATTAAAAATGGCCCCTTCCCTCCTCTCCTAATAGAATCTATTAAAAACCCATTTATGTACACTAGCTTACTGGGAGGAAGAGGATTAGCACTTTACTACCACAGCACTGTTGGCTTGCAGCAAATTGCCTAATACTTTTAATGTTTTAACTGTTTATTATTATTACATTTACTAGTTAAATTTGTCCTAAATGTTTTATTTGTATTCCTAATTTTCAATTTGTTGTTTATTTTATTGTTTTTAATTTGATCTGTTTGTTATACTTTGTTGACACTGAATGTTTTCTAATCTTTATTTGTAAACTACCATGAGTCCCCTTGGGGAGATAGGGTGGGATAAAAATAAAGTATTATTATTATTATTATTATTATTATTATTATTATTATTATAAAAACAGAAACACATAATGTCACCTAAGCACAAAAAGGTTACACCACCAATTTAAAAAGAATCTCACTAAAGCTCCTTCATCCCACATTACAGTTTGTGTACTCAAAATATGCTTCCAAACTGATAGTGCCACACCAAAAGATGCACCAGGTGGAGTAGCACAGGCCTTTACTGCCAGAAAAATACCTTTCTACTAACAGAGCACTGTGCCAGAACAAATATTCTATTGTCTACAAACTGTTGGCTGAAGAGTGAAAGAAATGGTGTTGGAATAATTACATCAGATAAAATATTTCCTCAGCGGTAATGCTAGCACAACATCAAACTCCTGGATTATCTCAAGAAGTCCTAGCCTAAGAGGGTTTTGTATTCAAGCACAGCTAAAGCTCGTCTAGTGTTGGCCTTCTTCAAGAGTTAGAACTACACTCTGATTCAGAACTTGTTCTTCTTAAATGGCTATAATCCCACTTTTCTTTTAACCTTGTTTTAAGCCTAGAATAATGTTTATGAAGATACAAATGGGAACAAGATTCAGATTAGTCACTGCAAAAGCCTGCAGCACATTGTGTAGCAGGAAAGCACTACGTAGCATTTGTGTGGGTGCTCCTCTTAACTCAGTTGTTAGATCTTATCATAACACCAGTCCTGGCAAATTCCAGCAAGGCGCTCCTGAAAAAAAATCCAATAGGCACAAATCCAAAGCATCAACCCCACATGCAAAATTTTGCAATACATCCTCGATAACAAATTGTTCCAATTCAATAGGTGAGTTTATCTGAGGCCCTGAGCTTGCAAGCAGATACATGCTTAGTATCTGTTAAATTCATAACTGGGAATAGAGGCTGTACTAGGGATGAGACCATTAACAATTATTCCAAGAACAAAACCC